TTTACCAGTTGAACTGCCCATGTATTACACTGTCCTCAAATGTTCAGTTTATTGTAGAGAGCAAGAACTGTTCTGGATTAGATTCTACTTCATGTATCAGGTGCCGGCCACACACCAGTCAGATTTGTGACTTGGTGTCCTGTGGATCATGGACATTTCCTTCCCATGTCAGCACTGTACATCCCTGGAAGCCAGTAACAATGTTCTAAGAAGTAGTTGCTTCCTCCCATGTAAATCTCAGTACAGATATTTCAGGCGTAATATGTGACCAGCTCTGAGAATGTGGATGCGGCGGCCGGATTGCAGTGGCTCATACCAGTCACTGCTTAATGTGTTTTTAGGCAGTGTAGCTGCTGTGACAATTGGCAGAGGAAAAATCTTGCGTGGAGCTCCCTAGGAGAGGATCTGTGCTTCAGCAAACAGGTCTGGGGAGATAAAGAAGAATGTGGGAGGGGGATATATTGTATGAGGTGGAGATGTGCTGGTCCTAGAAGGTTGGTGTGGGTACACAAGAGTGAGAATGTTATGGGTAGGAAGCAAATATGTCATTGAAAATAACTGATAGTGCATTGTACGCACAACTACTCAGAAGTAAATTTTGTTGCATGCTATAGGATTTAGTCTTAAATCAATATGCATAATGTTACAATCTAAATCTTTATCTCAAATTAGAAATTCATCTTAAGTTATATTTTCTGCTTCTGCATTTGAATTTCTAGGTCTTACCGCTTGGAATATCTTTCTCAATTTACAATGTAAAAGATCTTGGCAAGTGTATGCCAGGCTAAGGTTGCTGTGGAGATTATAACATCTTATTAGAGCTAATTAAGCAGAACTGCTTACAGGAACACCATCAACCTGAAATCTAGGCACTTAATTGGCAGCTAAAAATAAATTGTTGCACCTGTGTGTGCCAATCTTTCTAGCATATTCTACTCTATTATTTTTTTGTATTGGTTTGAAATGTCACACAGATGAGACTATTCAGCACAAATGGTTACAGTTGACAATTGTAAAAATTATGACTGATTAAGCATTTAAATAAATGGCACAATATTGTGATTTATTGTAGTGGTCTGTTTTTCTGTTGCGTAACTGATATAGAGAGTCAAATCTGGGTGTAATTTGCGTGAGTGAGAAGGGAGGAAGGTTTCAAGGAATAGTTCTCTTTTTGAATGTATGCTTTTTAAAAAAGTTATACTCTGAACTCATAAACTTCTGTATTTCCTCTATAATAAAAAAAGAGAGAATGTAGCCAATGTGAAGGTGCCTGGAAAGTCTAATCCTCACTTAGTAGGACAAAGAAACAACTTGTAATGAGGAGGCTGTGAGAGTTTTTATGATCTCATGAGAATTCAAATGTATTGAGAGGTTAGGTTGGATTAAATTTCCATTTTTTGAATTCTTGGAACCTACTGAGAATTCCAGTATCCCTGCTGAAAGGGGCCAGACTATCGACAACCGGAGTTTGTCCCATCTGCTCCTTGATATTATGGTTCACTGAAATTTAGTTCTATGGGAGAATATGTTTTCCACGGTTCAGGCATCTGAGATGCTGTCACTTCAACACTGAGGACTGCGTTGGGACTCGGGAGGAAGAGGCATTTGACAGAGAGCCCCCCAAAAGGTCTCTGTGAACGAATTTCCATTTAAAAATGAAATAGAGTGTGTGAGTCATTCATGCTCCAGTTAGTACTGTAAATCTGTTGGAGCAAATTTAGTTCTATGGGAAAATATGTTTTACACGGTTCAGGCATCTGAGATGCTGTCACTTCAACACTTTGAGGACTGAGTTGGGACTTGGGAGGAAGGGGCATTTGACAGAGAGCCCCCCCAAAGGTCTCTGTGAATGAATTTCCATTTAAAAATGAAGTAGAGTGTGTGAGTCATTCATGCTCCAGTTGATATTGTCTGGAGTATGAAAAGGAGAAAACACTAGAATCTGGCTTGAGAAAAAAAACTAACTATGTTCTAATTATCTGCATGTATGTGTAAGAAGATGAGCTTTTGAACAAGAGAGTTTGCCCATCACTTTCTTGTGGCTTTTACAATCTTTGATATTAAGACTGTCTGTCTGTGGCTCTGTTGATTGCGTGCATCAGATAGGACCCACATGTCAGAGCAATCCTTTAATCAGGAGTAAACACCATTGAGTTCAGTGGGACTTGGTTTAATATACAGCGGACCCTCGACTTACAGATGGCTCGAGTTTCTATAGACTGGATTTGAATACTGTTC